TTCGACACGTTGACGTCCTTTCCATCCGTGCCTGGGCTTGCTGTTTTTGTCATGTCCTTGCACAAATTGTGCATTGATTATCATTGGCCATCGACCGCTCCAGCGAACCTCAGGATCGAACCGAGATCGACCGGTCGCTTTCGTTGCGTCGACTCTCGTTGCGCTTTCGATGACACTCACTGTTTATCCCTGATTGGGTCTTCGAAAATGTTTTCTTCCGTCAAACAGTTCGCTGTGCCATGTAAAAAAACACGGAGGCGGTTTTTGTGCACGCACATCGTCGTCGCATCGCGCCTACTTCACTGCTCTGTTCGATCGGCTTTACCCCGTCCGTGTGACCATGCCCTGTAGTTTAGCAAACGCCTACCGACTAACGGATGGACGGTGGCCGAACCAGTGACTAACGCTAACTCGGCTCAACCGGTTAGGTGAGAACAGAGCATCTGCGCGACAAACAGACAAGTTGCATGGTGGTCTTCCGCCCGCAATTACCGCAGTGTGCGCCAGCCATCTCCGTGTAACGGTCGACCACCATCTTCCCCATTGCCGCTGTTGCCTCGCCCCGTTCGCTTGCCTGCCCGGTCTGTCGCTTAACTGACGGTTGAGCCGGTTTAAAACCGTACGCCGTCGTTGTTACCCACCACCGGCTTTTGCAAGGCGACGCGGTTTTAGAAATACAAAAAGCTCGTGCCTATCCCGGACTGGCGCAGCCGATGGTATCCATCGCTGCATCAGACACCGCCGGACAGGTTGGAAGCATCAGTACTTACAGCTTGCTCATGGTACGGTGCCGGTGGCAGCGTCTCAGCGACGTTCTACTACATACTTCTTCCTTTTATGTACCTCGCAAACGGAAGCACCGCTAGACTCAATGTTACAACACATTAGTTGTGCTCGAATTATCTTGTTATCGACAGAAACGACCAAACCTGTACTCGTAGCTTTCGACCCTAAGTTTCGAACCAACGCGCGAGACGAAGTTTAAAATTTGAAATACAGTGTAGGTTGTCTTATAGGTTGCTTATAAGGTATGCTCCAAAAACATCCATTTAACGAGGCAAAAAAAGTTAGCAAATGCAAAAACAGAGCTGGAAGACAGGCGCAGCAAAGGGATCATACTGTACTTCATGTTTTCGTAATAAACGATATATATATTTCGAACACTTCATAGCCGGGCTGGCATAACCGGAAAATTTATGCGAAACCATCAGTTTCAATTCTTCAGTCGATTCGTCCATTAACCCTGCTTTTCTGTAAGCAAGTAATGAAAGAATTAAATACTAAACAGTGATTAGCCACTGCCAATTCATGTGGTTAGGCTACTTGATGCACGTCGTGCTTCATTTACGGCGTGAATATTTCAAATGCCACCCATCCCCCTATACTCTTCTTCGTGAATTTATAGTCTGAGTGTGTTCGTTTCAGACAGGCTTCTCAATACTTCGTTCTGGCGTACAGTTCCTTATTTTGGTCGGTTTCGTTCAGTGACGATTAGTCAGCATCATTGAGAATGGTCAGCATAAGTGGACGACTAGTCAGCATCAGAGGAAAGCGAAGTATAACCGAATACGTTGAGGTGATGCCTTCTTCAGCGTTCTACACTGTTGAAAGTTCAAACGGATGTTCCAGTCGCTGACGCAACAGCCTGGTCGGGTGCAGATGCGGTGGTGGCCGGGATAATACGTGTAGGAAGTCCATAATGGCCACGAGGTCGCAGATATTGCCACGATTGCAACGGTTACGTTTTCCTTGCGAACTTCATCAATTTCCTTGCTGCTGGAAACCACGTCGTTTTTACCTTTCTCAGGACACTTACGTGAGGGATAGAGTACATACTGTTTATCCTGGCATTTAGCAGTTTTGGAGTAATAAGGAACGGGTGCAATCACTGATTTGTAGTCACCAGAATTATTTAAAACTTTTGCCGGTTAATGTTACAGGCCAGGAAATGGCCAGCCTCTTCCTGTGCTTTCCGATCGGCGAGGTCTGAAATGCCTCTTACGTGAGCTGAGACATTTCTGGTCAGTCATAACTTGTTATATGCGCATCATTGACCAAACCGCTGGAAATGCGACACAGGTTACAGGATTACTTCATTTTAAGAAGCACTGTATCGTCCTTCAGGAACTTACGGGAGGGGAGACTGCAGTAACCTGTCCAAGTCTTAAATAATTCTGTTAGAAAATTTCATCATCTTCATCATCATCTTCCATCGCCGCTTCTCCTTTCGGGTCGCGGAGGCAGACGCGTCAGACAG